ATTTGGTGAAGAATGAATTTTGTGTGGATCAATCTAAGGCCAATATTTCCTTGTAGTTCGCACGGAAGTTGTGAAAATGTTCCTACTGACCAGTCGAGAGGAGTGGGGGCGGTTGATGCAAGGCCGCTAGTATTAGATTATGCAAAGATGAAGAGTTTGGGTGGTAGGGACTTCAAGGGAGATGTGAGCCCAGATGCTGTAGTAGAGTGGTTGAGAGAGATGGAAGATGTGTTTGAGTATCTTTATGCGACCCCAGAGGAAAAAGTACAATATGTTGTTTTTCTCCTAAAGGGGTACGCGAGGAGCTGGTGGTCCTCAGTCTCTAGAGTTAATGGTGAACGAGTTCAGTTCACCTGGGAGGAATTCTTGAAGTCCTTTAAGACAGAGTTTCTTCCCGAAGCTTTTATCAGGGCAAAGAATAATGAATTCGCCAACCTTAAGCAGGAGAACATGACAGTTACTGAGTACACCATCAAGTTTGTTCGACTACTCTACTTTGAGGATGGGTTGGCGGATACTGAGCATAAGAAGAAGATGAGATACTTGCATGGTCTGCGCATAGGATTGAAAGAAAAGATCCACAGGGTTGATGAAGAGAGCATGGCCACAATCAAGGAGGCAGCACTTAAGTATGAAGCCTATGAAGTTGAGAGCCGAGAGGAACACAAGGCCAAAGAAGAGGAGAAGAAGAGGAAGTTTGGAGTAAATTATGCTGGACCTCGTTACCCACCCAGGAGAGGTCCTAGCAGTTTTGGGAGAACACCAAGTCAATCTATGTCGGGAACATCATACAGGGCACCAATTTCCTCAGCCACACAATTTCCATTTTGTCAAGTTTGTCAGAAGAGGCATCTTGGAGAGTGTAGGAGATTTTCTGGTGTATGCTTTCACTGTGGCCAACCTGGGCACATCATGAGGGACTGTCCGCATTCGGGAGAAGTAAGAGCTACACAGTCCGAGCCTTCAGTGCAATTTAGTAGAGCCCCATTCAGGGGTGGTTACCAGGGAGGCCGTAGTGGATTTCAGAGTGGTCGTGGTGGTACACAGGGTGGTAGAGGTGGTGGTCGAAATCAACCATCAGGAAGTGGTACGCAGGGTACCAGAGCACAGGGAGCACCGAGGGTTTATGCAATGACTCGAGGTGAGGCAGAAGTGGCACCAGAAGTTGTGACTGGTATGCTCTCTATCCTTGGCAAGCAATTATATGCTTTGATCGATACTGGTTCATCTCACTCATTCATGTCATATACGTTTGCACATATGCTACGTTTAGTTCCAGATAAGCTAGGCTATACCTTATGTGTTAAAACATCTGTGGGAGATACCTTGAAGGTAGACTCAGTTATTAGAAGTTCCTTCATTTGTGTGGAAGGAGCTTTCCTAGCAGCGGATTTAATTCTGCTACCTTTTGATGAATTCGATGTCATCCTTGGAATGGACTTTCTGGCAACACATGGAGTTGTTGTGGATTGTCAAAAGAAAGAAGTGTTATTCAGCACACCAGATAAAGGTCCTGTTGTATTCCGAGGCATTAAGAAAAAGGAGACTCATGGTTTTCTTTCTGCCTTGGAAGCTTTTCGATTAGTGAAGGAAGGTTGTGAAGCCTTTCTTGCTCAAGTTACTATAGTAAATGATAAGAAGGTTGAGGATGTAGAGGTGGTAAGGGAATTTCCTGATGTATTCCCCGAAGAACTTCCCGGCCTTCCACCAGAAAGGGAAGTAGAGTTTGATATTGAATTGGTACCTGGCACAACACCAATTTCAATGGCACCATATAGAATGGCACCAATTGAGCTGAAGGAGCTTAAAGAACAATTGCAAGAATTGTTAGACAAGGGGTTTATTCGACCTAGCATCTCACCTTGGGGTGCACCGGTTTTGTTTGTTAAGAAGAAAGATGGCTCCATGAGAATGTGCATTGACTACCGGAGGTTGAATAAGGCGACAGTGAAGAATCGTTATCCCCTTCCAAGAATAGATGATTTGTTTGATCAATTGCAGGGTGCATCAGTCTTTTCTAAGATTGATTTGAGGTCTGGATACCATCAATTGAAAGTGGCAGATGGAGCAACTTCAAAGACAGCTTTTAGAACAAGATATGGGCATTATGAGTTCCTGGTAATGCCTTTTGGACTCACTAATGCACCAGCGGTATTTATGGCTCTTATGAATAGAGTTTTCCATGAATATCTTGATAAGTTTGTGATTGTGTTCATAGATGATATTCTCATCTATTCTAAAAGCGAGGAGGAGCACAAAACTCACCTTAGAATTGTGTTGCAAATTCTAAGGGAGAAACAATTATATGCAAAATTCTCAAAATGTGAGTTTTGGCTGAAGGAGGTAATATTTCTGGGACATGTAATTTCTGGAAGAGGTGTCGAGGTGGATCCGAAAAAGGTGGAAGCAGTGGTGAGTTGGACTCCACCAAAAGATGTGTCGGAGTTGAGAAGTTTTCTTGGCATGGCGGGTTACTATCGGCGGTTTGTCGAAGGATTTTCTAAAATTGCCGCACCATTGACTAAATTGTTGAGGAAGAATACCAAGTATGTTTGGGATGAATCATGTCAAAAGAGTTTTGATGAACTGAAAAGGAGATTGACCACAGCACCAGTACTTGCACTACCTTCAAGTCAGGGAGAGTTTGTGGTGTATAGTGATGCCTCGTATCAAGGACTGGGTTGTGTGTTAATGCAAGATGGAAGAGTTATTGCATATGCCTCTAGGCAATTGCGTCCTCATGAAGTAAATTATCCCACTCATGACTTAGAATTGGCAGCGGTGGTATTTGCTCTCAAGATTTGGCGACATTATTTGTATGGTGAGACTTTTAAAATTCTAACTGATCACAAAAGCTTGAAGTATATTATGGATCAGAAGGATTTAAATAGTCGCCAGAGGAGATGGATAGAGTTGTTGAAAGATTATGATTGTACCATTGATTACCATCCAGGTAAAGCTAATGTAGTTGCTGATGCTCTGAGCAGAAAAGGCAAGAAGAATATAACGGATCTGGTTGATTTGAGGGCAATGAATGTTGATTTGGAAGTAGATGGTGTAACAGGGTTACTAGCTCGGTTGAACATTCGACCTTTGTTGCACGAAAAAATTCGTGAGAAGCAGAAGGAGGACCCAGAGTTGGTAAAAATCATTCAAGACATTGAGGAAGGAAAAGAAAGCCCATTTGAAATGGTAGATGGCATGTTGAAGATTAATGGAAGAGCATGTGTTCCTAATGTTGATAACTTGAGGAAAGAGATCCTAGATGAAGCTCATTCTTCTGCTTATGCTATGCACCCAGGAGCAACTAAAAGGTATCACACGATCAAACCATATTTTTGGTGGCGTGGGATGAAAAAGGAAGCGGCTGAACATGTTTTCACATGTCTGGTATGTCAGAAAGTTAAGGCAGAACATCAAGCTCCGGTGGGAAAACTGCAACCACTTCCAATTCCAGAATGGAAGTGGGAAAGAATCACAATGGATTTTGTATATGGTCTCCCATCATCAAGGGGAAAAGATGCAGTATGGGTTATTGTGGACCGACTGACCAAATCGGCTCACTTTTTACCCATTAGATGGAAACCATCACTGGAGACCTTGTCTCAACTATATATTAAGGAGATCGTCAGATTGCATGGTGTGCCAATTTCTATTGTCTCTGATCGAGACCCGAGCTTCACATCTCGGTTTTGGCAAAGTTTACATGATGCCTTGGGAACTAAACTGCATTTTACTTCAGCTTATCATCCTCAAACAGATGGGCAGAGTGAACGAACCATCCTAACTTTGGAGGAATTACTTCGATCATGTGTAATGCAATGGGAGGAATCATGGATTGACCATTTGCCCTTAATTGAGTTTGCTTACAACAATCAGTACCATAGTAGTTTGGGTGTTCCATCATATGAAGCACTTTATGGGAGAAAATGTAGAACACCATTATGTTGGGATGTAGAAGGAGCAAGGCAAATCTCAGGGCCAGAGATAGTTCAGATCACAGTTGATAAGGTCAAGGAAATCAGGGAGCGTATGAGGGTGGCTCAAGATCGACAGAAAGTTTATGTTGACACGAATAGGCGTGAAGTTCATTTCGAAGTGGGTGAGAAAGTATTTCTCAAAGTGTCACCATGGAAAGGGGTGATGAGATTTGGTAAGAAAGGAAAGCTTGCACCTCGATATATTGGGCCATATGAAATCACAGAGAAGATTGGACCAGTGGCTTATAAGTTAGCATTGCCTCCAGAAATATCTCAAATCCACAATGTATTTCATGTTAGTATGCTGAAGAGGTACAAAGTGGATCCTTCCCATGTTATACAACCAGAAGAGATCGAGTTGGGTTCAGATTTGACATTTGAAGAGGTTCCAGTTGAGATTGTTGATTACCAGATTAAGAATCTTCGTAGGAAGGAAATCCCAATGTTGAAAGTGGTTTGGAGAAATCAAGAAAGTGAGAGTGCTACCTGGGAAACTGAAGCAAGTATGCGAGAGAAGTACCCTGAGTTGGTAGCAACCTACTTTGCAGGTTAACAATCTTGCCTAATAAGATATGTTTTGAACTTGCTGATGTGCTTTTGTTGTGATAGTCCAGTATAGGTTTTTGAAACCTAAACATGGGAACTTGAGGTGTTATGTGTTACTTTCTATGTTATGAATTGCCTAACCTAAGAGTTAGGTAATGACTTTATGTATGATAGGCCATGTTAAGGGTTAGTAAGAGGAGTTAGAGTACGACTCAAGGTTAGATTTCGGGGACGAAATCTTTTAAGGAGGGGAGAATTGTAACATCCCGTTTCGGCTAAAATCGTATTTCGATCGCTAGAAAGTTCGCGATTTAAAATCGAGCATTTCGACACTATTTCGACGAACATCGGATTATCGATCGGATAAGTATACGTATTAATTAATTAATTATATATATATATATATATATATATATATATATATATATATATTAAGCGGCCGACATATATATTAAATCCCCCACCCCACTCGTCCATTATCACCTCTTCCCTTCCGTTACAATATTATTCCTGGACGGAGAAGCAGAGCCGCACGCAGAGCTCCGGAGAAAAACTTTGATAGCTCGATTCTTGAGCTACAGTGATCCAAAAATCTCGTAAGTAATGCCTAATTCATCTATACATCGTGATTTATAGATTTAGAGCTTTAAAACGAGTTTTTGGTTCAGGAATTTCTTGAATTCCCGATCTGCCAAATTAGGGTTTCGGAGTTTCCGGAAGCCGGATTGAGCCCAAATTTCATATACGAGCTTCCTGCAGCGAGGTAATCAATCCTCTAGTTCTAATCCCTGAATTTCGGCTATTATTTAGGCCAGGGTCCAAACCGCTGAATTTAGCTCCGGCCAGGGTTTGATGTGTTTTTATCGAGAATTTGACCCGGAGCCCAGAACTAATATTGACGGGGATACTGCAGGGGATATTAGGACGATCTCGGATTTTAATTCGGGGTTCGTTCGTGAAATTGACATTTTAGTACGGGAAGGTTAAACCGGTGTTTGAACGACCAGAACTGGTGAGGGATTAGCACGGCATACCGGGTTTGTCGTATCACGATAATTATATTGATGCTTAGAATTGACCTAGGTGAACTAGAATGGCATGATTAGGGGTGTATGGATTTTTGTGCTATATGATGAACCCTGGACTGTTGTATGATATTATTGACTTGCCCTAATCGATATGAACTTTGTTTATGTGGATGATTGCATACATGTTGCCATTTGTGGCTTAACTGTTGATATGACTTCATGGTTGTTCGATAAGGGGTTTTGACATGGCGTGATATTATGGTTGTATTTGGATCCATAAGTGGTGGAATAAACTTCCCAAGGTGATATTATGATTTTTAAGGAGAATGACTTGCACGAGGGTTTATCCCGAGGAAGTGCAATTATACGACTCCTGATTTACCTATGTTGAGCCAATTGTGGCCTGGTCAAGTACATGTGCAAGTAACGAATTATGATTAAGCAAGATGAGACATGAATCATGTATAAGGATACCAAATATGAGTGTTGTGGTCTCACGGTCAACTACATAGTAATTAGGGCTCCCTATGCTATTACTCTATTATGATATGTATGATAGTCACACCTCTCATGTGGTGGTGACTGAAGAATTCTTATGAGATATGACCACACCCAGAGCGGTGTCGGGGTATGACTACACCCATAGTGGTGTGGGGTATGTATGACCACATCCGACGGGATGTTGGGGTATGTATGACTACATCCGGCGGGATGTGGGGTATGTTTCCCGGGAGAGTTATTAGTATGGGAGTGGCCAGGTGCCTATGATAAAAACATGATAAGATGCATATGCATAAGTCAAGGTGGTTGATTCTTTTGCCTATTGGGATGTCGGAGGGCTGAGATCCGATCCTAGTGCTTTGGCTTGTTTGCTAGATGTATGGTAGTGGTATGCTATGTTATGAACTCACGATGCTATGATTATCTCACTCAGCTATGAGCTGACCCTCTTTTATTCTTCTTCTCTGCTTATGCTATGTGTAAGCAGATCATCATCAGCAGCAGTAGATAGGTGTATAGGTGGGAGCTGAGCTAGAGTTGAAGCCAGGATGAGGTATGGTCTTCAACTATTCTGTGCTTGGACTACTACTCGGGATTTTGGCCAGTGATCCACACCTTTTTGTAAAAATGTTTTGAGAACGTTTTTCATATGCATACTAGCTTCTGATGTAGTGTGAGATATCCACAGGTGTGGAAAGTTAATGATATGTGTATATTTATGTGGTTGTGTAAGTTGTGACGATTATGGTATGTATAAGTTTGGTATGCAGTTGTGTAGTATGAAACTGTGACTATGGCTATGTAAGTCCATGTATATGGTTTGAGTATATATGTTTGTGATGAATTATTTTGCAGGACAAGTTGCAAGAACTGTTAGCCCATTACGCGAGTAATTCATGTCGAAATTTTATTTGGGTAAATTTTCATAATTAATGTAGCACCCGAGATTAATTCCGCTGCAATTGTGTGAACAATATGATTAGGCAAAACGTATAGGGTAGGGTGTTACAGAAGAGGAGTTTGAATCATGGTGTGCTGCACTTTGGTTCATGTGGCGGGAACGCAACGCACAATTATTTAATGGACAGAAAATGAAGGAGGAGGACATCATCCCCCGATCAAAGCTTTTCCATGAAGATTATCGTTCCCACCAATCTCGGGCCGGAATACTTTCGGAAGTTGAACATCAATCCAGATGGATCCCACCCACTGCGGGTCAGGTGAAAATCAATACGGATGCGGCAATCTTCCGTGATGGAGGGATTGGTAGCAAGAGGATCAAACGGCCAGTTCTTGATGGCTGCAAATAAGAGGCTACGTGGAAGCTGGGTTGTGGAAGAAGCGGAAGCAATTGCAGCAGAATTCGGAGTGCAGCTCGTGAAACAACACAACCTGATGAACCCCATCTTGGAGACTGATAGCCTTGGACTCGTTAGTAAGATTGATGATGCAAAGCAGATTGAGTCGGAAATTGGAGTCGTGTGTCGAAGTATCCGGCGATATCTTGAGGAGTCGGGCTTGGGATCTTGGCAGCATATTCACCGCGAAGGCAATATGACACCGCATTGTATGGCTGATTCGAAGTCGCGTTGGGACGAACGAGTAGTTTGGGTTGATAGTCCTCCCTCCTTTTTGGTTAATCAGTTAGTGTTGGATAATGTAGCCACTTATACTGGTTAATAAGAAGTTTCACAGATTTCCATAAAATAAAATAAAAACAGTTAAATTAATTTTTAGGACTTTCTAAGGTGATTTGCAAGTCATTGTAACTTTCACTTTTCGGTCGACATCAAATAGGATTAGGTCGACCTAATCTGCTGTTTTAGTTTTGTCAGGCTCAACTTCGCGGTTGACCTTTTACAGCAAATGGTCGACCTCTTTGTGAAGCGAACAATATAAAAAGTCGACCCAAACATCTCAAAGGCCAACCATTTTGCTATTAAAAGGTCGATCTCATAAGTGAAAAGGTCGACCTCTGTTTCATTAACTGATCAACATCATGGTCGGGATTATTTATGAAAATAGTATAAACGGTTGACCTGACAAGTACGAGGTCGACTGTGTGCACACCGTATCCGTATTGGATAAGGGATTGCAACACCAGAAATTCGACTCAATCTCGTCCTAATATCTATAAATACGAATATATGTCACCTTCACCGCCACCGAAACTCTGATTTTTTTTTGTACGCTTAGAGCTTTTGTGAAAAAAGAAGATCCTTTGCGGTTGCTGTTGTAGGTGTTTCAAGAGGTCGACCACGTGAAAGGTGAGGTCGATGTCATCTTGTCTAATTCGTAATGTGCACCGTTTAATTTAATGTTTTGTTGCGGGCAGAAGACCATTCGGTCGACCCTTATTTCAATTAGGTCGACCTCTGTTTGAAAATTACGAGAAATTGAATTTAGGGCACAACACTCGGAACTTCTGTACTTGCGAGGTAAGGAAGATCAAACCCAATAGGTCGATCTAATTCTTATCATGGTCGACTTTTTGTTTGTTTGTTTTGCTTGTTTATCCAGAATGTCGACTTTGCCTTTGTTTGTAAGACTATCTTGTGCTTAAAAGGTAGGCCGATCAATGTATCTGGTCGACCTATCAATTCTTCATGTTAGTATTACATATGTTTTTGTTGGTAAATTGGTATTAATTCTACTGGATAGGTCGACCTAGGAAGAGCAAAGGTCGACCTAATTGGTTATGGTAGTGACAACTTATGTCTTTAAGGTCGACCTAATAATATTTCAGGTCGTCGAGGTCGGCCACTTCTCTGTTGTTAGTCATTTGTACAAAATTAGAGTGACTACCTTAGGGGATTCGGTCGACCGCAGTTAGGAATAGATCTACCGAATTGTGCAATTTACGGTGACTTGCAATGCACCATAGGCGCACCCAATTTTTAATTATTTAGGAAACTCAGCCTCACGTGCCACTTTGTGACAGCGGGTCCTACTAAATTTGGGGGTCATCCGCATTCAATTCGACGCCAACAGGGCTTCGCCCCCATCAGCCTAATAACTCCGCGAACACCAACGGGCCTTGCTTGGATTTAAACCTGGGATTTGCAACTCTCAAACCTTCACTGTCGTGGCAGCTTACCGTTGGGCTATCTTACCTTTGGTATAGTTAAATTAATTATGTATGTTAAACGAGTGACTAGTGGCAGTGACAAAGAAAGAAAGAAAGAAAATAACTCCCCTCTTCCTTTTCCTTTTGATTTGGAGGGAGGGAGGAATAGTTAATTTTCAGGTAAAATACCCCGGGTACACTAATGTATGAGAATTGGGAGAGATATACCACTTAATTAATAATAGGGTATCGCGTACCATTGAACTCTATTATACGTGCACCGGGTAACACTTAAATTTACTGTAAAGTGCATTCCGTTAAAGTTCACAGAATATTCTTGGAATATTTCATTGTTCTAAATTTCACAATTGATCCTTCTACTTTTCTTATTGTAAAAAATCATTTGAACTTATGAAAAATATCATTTTTATTGTTTAGTTGGAATCCTCTTTTGAAGACTTGATACTAAAGTATTTTTTAATAAAAATTTTAGAATCAATTATCATTATAAGTATTTTCAATTATCATTATGTTTTTAGAATAATTGAATAATTATCTAAATCAAATATATCCTATGAATTCTATCTCGATATAAATAACCAAAGAATGTTATATTTAGTTCTGTTACAACATGCGAATGTTGTTAAATTTTTCATGTTAAATATCCTTATAATTTATTAACATTATATTATAGATGTTCCATATTAGTTAAATTTTCTAATTCTAATTCTTTTTTATATTCATATTTTCTTTTCTACATTTGCTACTAAATGTTGTAGCTTTTATAGTTTATTTATTACTTGGTTACTTTTTGTCTTTTTCGTTCTAATTTTTTCCAATTAATGGAATATGTTTAATTCTTTTTTATTGTGATCCGTTTATCTTTCTTTAGTCTTGATTTATTGATGATTGATTAGGTTCTATTTTAACTGTTTCTAATGGTGCTGAGAATTGAATTAGAGGTTGAAATAGATTTTCTAATATTGATTTTTAACATTTATTATTATCTTCTAGTATACGTATTATTTTTCTTGATATTCATTTATTATTTTTACGAATTTATCTATTTTATTGAAAAATTGTGATTAGACATTTTTAGTAATACTACGTTTAGAAGGTTTTTAATTTTTATATTATATAAAACTTGTTGAAATATAATTCTGGGTGTTTTTTAAAGTTTTGGGTACCAAAAAGTAATTAAAAGTTTGAATTGGATGGAAAACTAAACGAATGCACATTTTGATGAATTTAATCGTTAGGATTTTGCTACGGTGACGTGCATGTCACGGTGACATGCACTTTTCGGTCGACCTCATATAGGATTAGGTCGACCTAATCTGTTGTTTCAGTGTAAAAACAGTTTTATGGTGTCTACTTTGGAGATTCATATCTTACAATTGGCTAAATGGAAATTGGAGATTAAAGGCTTGTTTTGAAGCTGAAGTGTCCCTCAACACATTAAAGTACTTGGGAGCTCAATAGAAAGTCTAGAAGACCATTTTTTAACCTGACCAAAAGGCAATGCCAAAACTGGGAAACTGCCTGAAAATGGCTAAGTCTGGCAACGTGTTTGTCAAGCCTACTTTGGAGCTCAATTTGAGAAGCATGGATGCGAGTCAAGTCCAGGGGCTTCTACTACGTTAAATTAGGTATTTTTTATACAAAGGCTAGGCATTGGATGAAAGATTGAATATCTTTAAGGCTTCAAACAAAAGGCTCGAAGTTGCTACAAAGGTTGTTTTTCTGGCAGCTTGCTTGTGCTCGAAGTCTGCCAGAAAAACAGCCTTCGTAGCAACTTCGACCCTTTTGTTTGAAGCCTTACAGATATCCAATCTTTCATCCAATGCCTTGAATTTGTATAAAAACATACCTAATTTAACGTGGTAGAGGCTCCTGGACTCGACTCGCACTCATGCTTCTCGAATTGAGCTCCAAAATAGGCTTCACAAACACGTTTTCAGACTTAGCCATTTCCAGACAGTTTCCCAGTTTTGGCATAGCCTTTTGATGAGGTTCAAAAATGGTCTCCTGGACTTCCTATCGAGCTCTCAATCACTTCAATATGTAGAGGGACACTCCAGCTTCAAAACAAATCATTAGTCTTCAATTTCCATCTAGCCAATTGTATGATATGAATATCCAAAGTAGGCACCATGAACTGTTTTTACACTAAAACAACAGATTAGGTCGACCTGATCATATATGAGGTCGACCGAATCCGAAATGAGGTCGACCAGATCCTATATGAGGTCGACCGAATCCTAAATGAGGTCGACCTAATCCTAACTGAGGTCGACCGGAAAGTACAAGTTACCGTGACATGCATGTCACCGTAGGCACACCCTAATCGTTAACCTTCTTGAAAACTGCACTTTCCACCTTACCTTTCCCTTCCATTTCCTTTCCTTCCTAAAATAACAGAGTTTAAGTCATTACATTTTCAGGACTATTTTTTAAAAAATATACATTTTTCTTACTATATTCTTAACGAATGGGTGACATGTATAATAAATTATTTGTTTAATATATTTAAAATATTTTTGTGTAGATTTTTCAGAGAATATTTGTGATTTTTTCGCATGAGATTTAATGTGGATTATGAGAACTCCACTTAATTGAGATAGATAGACTAATTTTTCAATTAACCACTTGATTCTCTAAAAAAGATTTTTTTGTTCATTGATGTATGCAATGCATGTTCCAAAGGGAAGATATTCAATTTAATATAACATATTAACTCTTTGCTAACTATGTTTTGCTTATCTTAATCATTTGAATTAGGGGTGGCAGTTCGGTTACCGGTTAACCGGCCGGTTATTCACTAACCGGTAACCAAAGTAACCGAACTTCGATCGGTTATCGGAGGCTAGACGAAATGGTTTTTGGTCTTAAAAGTGGGTCGGTTAACCAATAACCAATATAACCGAGAAACCGAAGCCTATTTCGGGCGGTTTTCGGTAGGGGGAGTGGTTATTTCGGTTAACCGATAACCGGCCGATTGGTTATCGGTTATAACCGAAATAAACCAAAATGTCACCCCTAATTTGAATATGCTAGTGGCCTCCACACATTAATAACGGAATTAACTGAAGTAGATGACTAATAACTATTGACGAAACTGATAGAATCCGGGTCCCATCCAGGGATTAAAAATAATGGGATCAACTAAGGATTGATTCTTTAGAGGAAATGGAAGTCATGGGGAATGGGAAATTGGGAAAATTATTAGATCCAACATTTGTTAGACGTAGAAGCTCCAACCAACCACATATTAGTTTCCTATTGGTAAGTTTATCTTTTTATATATTTTCATTCTAGATTTATTTAGCATAATTAAGAACATTGAATATTAGTAAAAAAGGAAAGGGAGTCCACCAATAACAAACTGACATGTTGGATGGTTGGAGCTTCTACGTCCAATCAAGGTTGGAGCTAAGAATTTTCCAAGAAATTGAGTTGAGATGAGAAAAAGGGGAAGAAGTGTTGTGGCAGCAGCAGGGTGGAGAGAAGAAGGGTTTTCGGCTGGAGGGGGGGGATTAGGAAAATTAATTTTGATCTAATCTTGTTTAGTGGCTAAAATCCACTTACAAGAATATTTATATAAATGGATAGTTCTCTTATGTTACTCCAAATTATTGATCCCCACAATTAACCCATAATAATTTCCCAAATACTTATAAAGAAAAATAATCAGACAAACGATCCAAATAATCAAACTACAGAAATGGGTTATTGGTTTAGAGTGAGTGGCTAATAAATAAATAAAATTTCTAGAGACAAACGTAAAAGACATTAATAAATTAATGACCAAACATATAATGCATCCGATTTTCATAATACAAAAATGAAGTAGAATATTCTCGACACACTCAAAATGGAGTGACGATGGTTCCCTTTCATTGTATAGGCTTTAGCATAGAATGGAATAGCAAAAGATGTGAACACTGCAAAATTGCATGATGCGCCTCTTTTCATACATTTTCGGGAATCCTAGAACTCAGAATTTGCACTTCCCACCGATAAAAGTCAGCCCAAGCATCTTCTAGCGGTTGATCTTCCTATATACGCCCAAATTGACTGAAAAAGTGAAAATGGTTCAGAGCTGGCAAAAAAAGTTGTTGCTAATATGCTTTGTTCCTTTTCACAGTGCAACGTGGCTGGACAAATAGAGGATTCGGTGGTAGAAAGTGTTCATTCGTATTATTAATGATTCTGTAAAAAAAAAAAAGGTACTATTATTAGCGGAATTAAAATATATCAGAATACTATTAGCAGAAAAGCTGATGAAGCCTAGATCGACCGAATGTTTATATTACAAACAACTGAACAAGAAATAGCTCGCTAGATAGTAGCTCATCTACGGCAGAAGGTCCAGTTCATGAAGAATTGACCAACCAGAAGTGGTTCTGGGTTTGGACTGACAAGGGGTGAGTAAAATCTCCAGGGAATACCAACGCCGAAGAATCATTGTCGACGCAGTAGCAGCGTCTCTTTGGGAGTGGAGAAAGTCAACAAGAAAGGAGAGGCAAGGAAGCCGGCGACGGCGATGAAGATACGGAAAAAGGACGCCCCGTGTTAAATTTGCAGAAAATAGATGGACACTTTGTTTAACGTGGTTCTTCCTCACGGTTTGTGAGGCTTACATCCACGGAGGAAAGATGGTGATCTTATTACGTGATTTGGCCAGAGGCCTTACATGGGTTTAAATACCCTAATTCAACTATTCCATCTAGGGTACAGTTTGCTCCACAAGTTCGTGGAGGAGAAGGAAACTCCCTCGCAGACTCCTTCTTCACGTCGGCATGGGCCGCACGTGACGACTGCTCGGACTGGCCCAATACTCCCCCCGCAAGATGAGGCGTGGAGATCTCGAACACTCATCTTGGAAAGAAGGAAGTGAAAGCGTTCCGCCCCGAGGCCCTTGGTAAGGATGTCAGCAAGTTGAAACTCAGTACGAACTTTGACCGGGAGAATGTCACTAGACTGGACACGCTCACGAACGAAATGACAATCCATTTCCACGTGCTTGGTGCGTTCATGGAAAACGGGATTGTTGGCAATGTGGAGGGCAGCCTGGTTGTCGCAGTGAAGCGAAGTCGGAGCTTGCTGCGGAGCCCCAAGCTCGTTAAGTAACCAGCGCAACCAGATGAGTTCACTAACCGTGCTCGCCATGGCACGATATTCAGCTTCAGCGGAGGAACGAGCAACAACTCGCTGCTTCTTCGTACGCCAGGAAACAGGGGCCCCCCCAAGTGTAATAAAATACCCTGTAGTAGAACGCCGGGACTGCTCACAACCTCCCCAGTCTGCATCACAATAAGCTGTGAGAAGAAGGGGATTATCTTTGGGAAAGAAAAGACCCTGACCTGGTGACGACTTCAGATAACGCAGGACTCGGAAAACGGCATCGAGATGTTGCTGAGTAGGTGCACCAACAAACTGGCTCAACAGGTTGACTGCATAAGTGATATCGGGTCGTGTGATAGTCAGATAAAGAAGACGGCCCACGAGACGACGATAAACCGAAGGGTCCGGCAATGGATCCGCACCTACACGGGTTAGGTGGTGATTCTGCTCAACGGGAAAAGAACTGGGGCGTGTGCCCTGAACACCAGCATCCTCCAGGATATCCAAAACGTACTTACGCTGACTGAGGACAACTCCACTAGCAATGCGCGCCAGTTCAATGCCCAAAAAATAGCGAAGCTGACCAAGATCCTTGATACTAAAACGATCATTCAAGAACTGCTTGACGCGCGTAATGAATGATAGATCATTACCCGCGAGAATAACATCATCAACATAGATCAACGCCGTGACAAAGGTGTCGTCACGCCGATAAATAAAAAGGGACGCATCAGCCGCAGAAGATCGAAACCCAAACTCACAGAGGGCGGAAGTAAACTTCTGGTACCAGTTTCGCGATGCTTGACGTAGACCATAAATGGACTTATGGAGACGACAAACTCGTGTATCTCCCGGTTTCCGAAATCCTTCAGGAATTTCCATGTATACTTCCTCCTCAAGGTCGCCGTGAAGGAAGGCATTATTGACATCGAGTTGATGAAGATGCCAGCCTCGACTGACGGCAACAGCAATGAGACAACGTACTGTAACCAGTTTGGCGACGGGTGCAAACGTATCGTGGAAATCAAGTCCCTCAACCTGCGTATAACCCTTGGCCACCAAACGAGCTTTGTACCGTTCGATAGTCCCGTCAGGAAAGAATTTGATCTTGTAAACCCACTTAGAAGCGATAGCACGCTTGCCTGGGGGCAGAAAAACAAGACTCCACGTACCATTCTTCTCAAGAGCATCAATCTCACGGGTCATTGCCTCTCGCCAGCAAGCCTCACGAACCACTTGGTAAAAGTAACGAGGTTCATCGTAGCAGGTCTGAGCTGCAAGGAAAGAGCAATAAGATCCTTTAAAACGGGAATAGTCAACATAAGCAGCTAATGGATAGTAAGTATGATGGGAGGTACTTCCCTGAGCATTATGAGGAGCAAATTGAGTGACGTAATTCTGCTCCAAATGCTTCGGACGAAAACGCTCCCGATTGCTCCGTCGCAAAACCTGTGGGGGTTGTGTAAGCTGCTAGGCCGAATTGGGCTGCGAAGAAGTGGCCAAATCGGCAGGCCCAGTCGCAGTGTCATTAAGTTCAGGTGAGGGCGGAGGAGAGCAGGCTGGCCCAGGAGAAGTGGCCGACCCATGAAGTGAATTCGGGTCTGGCCCATCAGCTGTGGGCGACGCGGGCTGTCCTGGGGATGAATCAGAAGCGTTGTGGAGAGGGGAGGCAACGTCTGTATCATCATGTGGCTGGACAGGAGGGCGAGGGATCCAATGAAGCTCATGACGAGCATTATCCTGCATGGGGAACAAATCTTCATGAAATTTCACATCACGTGAGGTTACCAACCGCCTTGAGACAAGATCGAAAATGCGATAACCCCTTTGAGAAGCAGCATAACCCAGAAAAACTCCGGCACGACCTCGTTCAGCGAACTTATCAAGGTGAGCGTGGGTGTCTTTGTAGTAAGCTAAACAACCAAACACGCGAAGGTGCCGATAAGGAGCCACCTTCCCAAAGAGCATTTCATGCGGACTTTTGCCGGTAGCATCGGTGGGGAGCCTGTTAATAAGATAAACAGCTGTAAGAATACATTCTCCCCAAAATTTAATGGGTAAGCTAGCCTGAAATCGCAAAGCACGAGCTGTTTCGAGAATGTGACGATGCTTTCTCTCCACTACGCCGTTCTGTTGAGGAGTGTCCGTGCAAGATGTCTGAAGTAAAACTCCTTCCTGCGCATAATAGGTGCGCAACTCAACTGTGTTGAACTCATGACCATTATCTGCCTGAATTCGCTTAACAGAGCAGCCAAACTGTGTGCGAACCATGTTGCAGAATTGCATCAAAGACTTGCCAACATCAGACTTGTACCTTAGGAGATAGACCCAGACACCACGCGTATAATCATCAACAACTGTTAAGAAATAGTGTGCACCACTAAGTGAAGCCACCTTATATCCTCCCCAAATATCAACATGAATAAGATCAAACATAGACGTAGTTTTTATTGTACTAGAAACAAACGGTTCTCGTGTCTGTTTGGCCCTCAAACAAGAATGACATGGTCCAATTCTACTAAAGGAAATGCCCAGCGAAGAACTTAGTGAAGAAATTTTATCAAATGATGGATGCCCCAACCGAGCATGCCATGTAGCTTCAGAAACTGCAAATCGTCGCGTCACTGCACAAGCCTGCGTCACACCAGCTCCAAATAATCGCAAGTAGTACAGTCCATCACGCAACTCACCCTTCCCAATCAACTTCCTGGAGTGTAAGTCCTGAATTACGCAGAAATTTTCAAGAAAAATCAAAGCAACACGGTTATCCTTAGTCAGCCGGCTCACAGAGATAAGATTACATCGAAACTCAGGTACATGAAGTACCCTCCCCAGAGTTAGACCATCCTGCAGTTTTACCGAACCCACATGCTTAACTGGTATACTGTCTCCATTAGGAATTCGAACTGGCTGGCCACTAGTATGCAATTCTTTGCTAGATAACATAGTCTCATCCATGGTAATGTGTTCATTGCATCCAGAATCCAACAACCATTCAGAATCATAAGAAACCATACCTGCCATGTGAGCTGCCGGGTCATCCGCTGGCTGACCTGAATGCCCGAAAAATTTCTTTAACTGATCCAATTGAGCCATAGTGAATCCAGGAACCGGACTCGCCTCCACGTCGACTTGGGAAGCTTTAGGCTCTCGGTGCGAGCTCTCACTACCTGCTCGATTTCGCCGCTGCTGGGCGCGTTCACCCTGCCGATCCCTCGTACGATATCCAGGCGGATATCCTATCAATTCGTAGCAAGTCTCCTTCGAGTGGCCTTGACGATTGCAGTGGGTGCACCTCTGCCGTTCGCGTTGCTCCCCCGTACCACGTGAGTCATTATTTCCACGAGGAGGACGGTCGGCTTCACCCTTTGCGGCAAAGACAGCAGCTTCGGATGGGGACTTCCGATTCTGAGTTATGTTCTTCTGCTGCTCTTCATTCATCACTATGTGAAAGGCTTCGGCGAGAGTGGGGGTGGGCTTCATGGCCAGAATCTGGGTGCGAACAGCCCCAAATGCATCATCAAGCCCCATGAGGAAATCGAACAAACGAGAGCTCTCTTGTTGGGCACGAACTTTGCGTGAGACATCACATACACATTGGCCGCAAGTGCAGGCCGGCGGCGGAGTGATAGCCGCTGCTTCTTCCCAAAACGAACGCAAGCTGGTGTAGAAGGCTGACACTGTGAGTTTTTCCTGCTGAAGCAGACTGATGAGGCGCCTGAGCTCATAGGCGCGGGAAGCACTCCCTTGACCAAACCGCTCGCGCAGATCCATCCATATCTCCGACGCATGCTCGGCAAAACGGATACTGCTGCGGATTTCCTTATCCATCGACGTTTTCAGCCAACCTTTGACCATCGCATCACAGCGCACCCATGCTGCCTGTGCCCTAGGTTCCGTCGGCTTCAATATGGTTCCATCAACGAACCCATATTTGTCTTTGGCGATGAGAGCATCTTTCATGTCGAGGGACCACTCCCCGTAATTAGATGCCGTAAGAATCTCACCAACAAGCATGTTGCCCGGACTATCTGAATTGTGTAGCTGAAGAACCGATGGAAGAACATCATCGGCGGAGCCAGCATACACTCCCTTGTTTTTGCCGTCGTCGCCGCCGGTAGTCATGGCGTACAATCGACGAGAAGACTCTGGAGCTTAGAGCTCTGATACCATGTTAAATTTGCAGAAAATAGATGGACACTTTGTTTAACGTGGTTCTTCCTCACGGTTTGTGAGGCTTACATCCACGGAGGAAAGATGGTGATCTTATTACGTGATTTGGCCAGAGGCCTTACATGGGTTTAAATACCCTAATTCAACTATTCCATCTAGGGTACAGTTTGCTCCACAAGTTCGTGGAGGAGAAGGAAACTCCCTCGCAGACTCCTTCTTCACGTCGGCATGGGCCGCACGTGACGACTGCTCGGACTGGCCCAATACCCCGCTACAAGAAGAAGAAGGCCCACTGGGCTACGAAAGTCCAAAAGAACCGGACAATATGTTTTCACCGTGTGGGCTTTGATGCCTGGCCCACCCAATCGAGAGTGGCCCAAAAAGCTGCTATGGCCTCGTGGATTGCGAATGCAATTAGGAAATTGTTAACTACAAATATAATAAACAGTTTTGAAGATCCTAACAATCCTATATGGAGCTTCTTGGCCAGAACCCCCTTAAACCTCATTTTCCTGCTCCCAACGCAACCCACGGAGGGAGAATTTGGTAAACATGTTGTGCATTTATTCACTGATTTGGGCTAGGCCCATTCTTCTTTTCATTGCAAACTTGGGACACGGAAACAGAATATATAATTCACCACTACCAATCCTAATAATTATATGGGGTTGGTTATAAAAAAAATTGGGCGGCTAATTGGTAGTTTCAACTTTCAAAGCCCAATTCCAAACAAAAGAACAGAAAAAAAAAACTCATTAAGCTAATTTTAAGGCAACAACATCACTTTCACCCCTAAACTTTCATGATTTAGTCATGTCGATACATGAACATTACTTTCGATCATACCAATACACGAATTCATATTTTTGGTCATCGCGGTATATTAACCGATTCCAACCATGTAACCGGCATGAATACCAGTGGTTAGGGGTGAACAAAACAACCCGTAAACTGACCCACCCGTCCAGTCCGACCCAACCCACCCGTATTTATTGCTATAATTAAGAGTTATGGTTGGACGAGGGTTTTATTTTGTACAACACGCCTCTATTAGGTTGGGTCCGTATTTTGGGTTACGCAACTCATAGAACCCGACCCAACCCGTGTTCCGACTATTATGATAAATGTTCGTATCCAAACCATATTTGTAAGAAATTTAAGATATTTTATCATATTTTTCTCTTGTGGTTTCCCAACGTAATACATTCTTCTACATATAATTTAGACGTATATTTAATAAATGCTACAATTCACATAATTTTTTTAGTGTACAATTTTAGAAGAACAATATATTATGAATGTGTTCTCTCATAATCATTTCAGTTTATTTTGAAAACTGTTTGAAGCAAATTATATTTCATTAAAATGCAAATACCATTTATGCATTTTGATACCTTTCGTTTTAATTTATTTGTTTAAAAATTTAATTATTTAAATAATATTTTGTGTTGTAGAATAATTTTATTTTTTTGTGGTTGGGTTGGGCTTTTAGTTAAAAGTATCTCCAACCCGACCCAACCCAACTATAAACAAACTATAGGGTTCTAACTTTATTGGGTGGGTTTGGATACGATATTTTGCAAACCGTAGTGTATGAGTCGGGTGATTAAAATGATCAAACCCGAACCACCAGACCCATGTACACCCCTACCAGTGGTATGACTGACATGATAAATTTATAGTGTTTAAATAAAGCGACTTTGTTTTAGTAAATGAAATTAACAAAATAATTTATTTATTTCAATTCATTTGACGTTAGTGGTATATCACATTTGTGCATATAGTTTATTAAATCAGGACATGCCGGCATGAACTGACATAAACCGACTGTACGAATTCATATTTTGGCAATCGCGGTACATCAATCGATTCTCGCCATGAAACCGACACGAATACCACATGTATGACCACCCTGATAAATATATAGCGTTTAAATAAATGACATTTTTTTAGTAAATGAAGTTAATAAAAAACTTTATTTATGGTTTATTCTATGAATATGAGATTTAAATGTACATAGATTTTCTTGAAATATGTTATATATATATAGCATCAATGCGCCCAACTCTAAAAGTAGTCGTAGACATCAAATTTTGAATTTTAACTGGTAGCATTAGTCTAATATGATGATATAACAGAGCATCTCAACTAATCAATCCATTACCATAACCCCTAAACCTTCAATTTTGAACATCAACACAAAATCCCAAAATGTGAGCCCTAATCCTAACCCTAATTCTCTAAATCGAAAACCCTTCAAATCAAAGTAAATACTTATGAATTTTTTTTTTTTTTGTAAATTCATGGGGTTTCATGCCTACCATATCACAAGTAATGATTGACATCGTTGTGACATGAATCGCCTACTCAAAATGGCGATTATGAGGCGGGTGCACTAAATGCACCCAAAAAAGTGCGTGCATTGAAGACACCACCATATATATGGCAAAGGCTAGCGTACGCCCGTTGAGTTTTATTATTTAAACAATGATTTGACCGGAGTTTGGGGCATGATATTATGATCTAACCCTTAATGGGTGAACCCCAGTCCCCAATTCACCAACCCGAATCGC